ATACCGGAGAGAGCAGGGAAGCAAGGGTGAGGCTTGCTTACTGGGAACCACCTCCTTCTATGGATGAAACAGTATGCTATTACAAAGTGTTTTTTCAGATTTTTTTTTTCTGCTTCTTCCCTCAAAGTAAGCAAGCAGGGAGGAATTTCTAGCTGGAAAAGAGCAGATCTGCTCTGATAAAAGTCCCTGTGATGGTGACAGAGGTGCTTTCCTTGTGCAGTGTTGTACTCGCACCCTCTGAAGCACCGTGTGCAAAGGGCAGTGCTCCAAGCAGAGCTGTCTGCAGCATCTTAAGTGTCCCAGAGGTTAACTCCACCTTGATTCTTGAACCCTCCCCTCTACCTCCAGGTGGATTTGGGGCATTTGTTTGTTTGTGGCAAGGTAGTGAACAAGCAGAAGAAAACTTCACGTTTCTATTGGGAAACTTCTGCCAGTCTTTGCTGTAGACAGGCTGTGTCTCTCTGAAATATGATCTTTTAATTAAGAGGCACCAGTAAGTTAGGTTATTTTTTGTTAGTTATTTTAGCGTGGTCTTGTAGGCCAGGACCCCCCCAGATGTGGATGTGTTTGAATGAGGTTTTGCAATATCAGGTGCTAACCCAAATGATTTATTTTCATTTTTTTCTGAGGGCCAGGAACTTACCAGACACACAGAGGAGAAAACAAGTAGAAATAATTTGGTAAAACATCCTTGCTGGAAACTTTCACTTGCCCCAGAACACAGATGGCATTCTTCTAACTGCCCAGCACTGTGGACTTCTGCCAGAAGGGATTTGACTAGTCTTTGCCTGTGACTCAGAATAGAGATGTGTTGGGAACCTCCTTTTCCTCCCTCCCTTTTGAAAAATGAAGTGAAAGTTTATCAACCTGTACAGTTAAATGAAAGATCAGCCAGCCAAATGAGGAAGTAAAACCTTCCTGCAGAATGAGTGCTAACCTGCTCACTGTACTTGTTTGCTTTCAGTTGACATCAGCCTTGTCATAAAGTCTCTAAATACTGGCGGACTTCCTTGTGAGCTCAGCACTACTCTGAATCCAGTTTCTGGCATGCTAGTAGTGGTGAGACGATATTGCCTGGGACTCAGAAATAGCAGCTGTCAGGTAACGTGCAGAGCAAGTGGAACTGCCTGTGAGTACAGCCCTCTGTGGCATTTGCTTCTATTATTTCAGCAAATGCAGCAGGGAAGGTGGGGAAGGAAAAGGCCGTTCAGTTTTCGGCCATCAGGAATCTGTTATAAAGACTTTATGTGCATCTCTGTAATCTGTAAATGTAGAAATTCCTGTTTATCTGAAAGTGCAACTTCTTTCAGAGGAAAAGCTCATGGAAATGCTCAAATGAGCTTGTAGGCTCAGTGGATTTGGGACGTGGTTCTGGGGGACAGAGGAGGAAGGGGCAGCACAGATCTAAGACGTGAAGGGGAATACTGCCATGGCATGGAGCTGTCCTTGCGCTCCTGGCCTTACTCCACACGCACATCTGATTCAAAGACCCAAACCTGCTCTGTCTTGATCAATGCCAGGTCCTGCCCCACAATTTCGGAAGTGGGGCAGGAGCCACCTCCCTGGCTGGTCCCCTCTTGGCCAGAGGGGGCCTCTGTGTGGGCTTCGAGTAATTCCCGTTCCCCCTCAGTGGAGTTGATCCTCATGACGGTTCTGTGGCCTGAGGCAGTTGGAGGTGTTGCTCAAACAGGTGCCCTGAAGGGATCTGCTCCTGCTCGTACTGCTGCAAATGGAGTATGTAGCTGGTGGAAAGACTAGGCAAAACCCATTCTCTAAAGTAGGTTAAGCAGAAGATTTGGAATGTAACCAATAGTTGTTTGGAAAGCTTCTGCAAAATTTTCAAATCACTGTTTTCTGATTTTCCAAATTTGCCAAAAGAGGGAAAAGAGAAAAGACCTTGACTGGTCTCATAACTTTTCGGTCAAATGCGATATTTTTTTAGCTGAAACATTGAGATAGAATTTTTGTAAATACGTTACTCAAGTTGTTCCTTCTAGCTGTATTTGTGTATTTGAGAAGGGGAACAACGCTATAGAAACAGAGTACTGTTTTTTAAGCTAGAACATAGGAACACATGATTACCTGTGGATAAGTTTAGTCTGGAAATGAGAAGACTTTGATTATTAGAGGAGGAGAAACAAGAGCAGCTTCCCAGCAGAGTTAGCTGGTGCAAGGTGAGCAGAAGCAGGGGAGGAAATACAGGTGGTTTGAAAATGAAGCTCGTAAGGTTTATAAATGGGATTTTACAACTTCTACTGAACTCTGAGACACACAATTTCTCCTCGTCATATGTTTTTGTGCTTGTTATAAGCAACCAATAAGCAACCTGTTGGACTTGCTCATGCTATTGATTTTTTTTACTAAGTGTAAGTTAGTAACTTTATCATCATTTAAGTCTGCCTTTATAAGGGGACTTAAAAGGGACCTCAGCATTAGCTGTGACCAAAGCTTTTCTCTCGGGATTTCAAACTTGCTCTTTCTGTGGTGAAAACCCTGCAGTCACAGTATTGCTCATTTTTAATACTTGGCCAAGCTGTAGCAGAAATCCAGTGGTTAACTTGACAGAGGGAGAGCGTTGCTGATGAAGGCTGATACTGCAGGGTGCAAATCCCAGGCTGCAGGGCAGAGCTCAGTGTTTTCCATGCACTGCCGCAGCTCGCCAAGCTGAAGGGGCCCATTGCTTGCACAGAGGGTCCCAAGCCTTGCAGAACAGTGTGCCTTGCGTCCTTTCCCCCGACGGGCAGAGGCAGGCTGCGCGTTCGAGGCTTTTGGTGAAGCAGGGCTGGCCCTGGGTCAGAAAACCCGTTCTGGTGAGCCGCCTCCATTCAGCAAACGTTCACATGCGGTTAAGAGTTCTGCAGAAGGGGGCTGTTTGGTGCACAGGGAGAGGCGAATGGGGCCTTTACACTCTCTATGGTTAGAAATCTGGTGAAATTCTGAAGAATTGAATTGCACCTACTTTCCATTTAAATGCAGGACAAACTTATAGACAACTCCGTATCATACTGACATGGGAAATTGCTGATATGTAAGGTCAGCATCAGAATGAGTAGAAATAAAGGCTTAAAAAAAAAAATAGTGATGACTTTTAAATTATGCATTCACTATTTTCTTTTAGACCTGAGGACAGATAATCATTTCAGCTTTTCATTTACAATAATTTATTAAATAATCTAGACAAAAAAAAAATCTAGTAGTACATGTTGACTGAAGTGTTTGGAGCTACTGACTTAACACCTGCAAGTAGGGTTTGCTACATCACTAGCCCAGCTGTTACAGTTGGAGCTTTTTTCAGGTACAAAAATATTAATATATTTCAGTTCAGTGACTAGCTATTTCAGAGTTGAGAAATCAGTTCTGTACTGGAAAAGCTGGAAAGCTCACTTTCATCTTCCGTCCATGAATTAAAAGTAAAGATTAGATGTAAAAAAAAAAAAAGCAAAACTTATGGATCACACAGTATGTGCGGAAACCAGTCAGGTCAACTCGCTATTGTTTAGATGGAAAAATACAGGTAGTAGCTCCTTTTCCCTTATGTAGATGGCATAATCAAGACATCTTTATTTTGTTGTTGCTATTCCTCATTTTTAGTGGGCTCCAAATTTCTTCCACATAAAATACCTTGAAGTTACAAGCTTATACAGAAAAACAAAGGTTGAAGTTGTAGGAAGGGTTATTAACTAATAATCAAGTTTTCCTGTTATTGGTTAAACAAATACTATCTAAATCCCCCCCATACCCCCTGGGGGGGGTGGGGGGCTCTCAATGCCTTGGGGAGGAGCTGCACTCGTGTTCTCCCATCTTCTTGTTTCTAGTCCCTCCATGCTGCATTTGCAGCCTCTGAGCTGCTGAGGTGGCCCAGTGCTGGGAAGAGCAGGGGTCAGAGCGGGTGGGAGAGAAGGAAGAAGAGGCAGGTGAGAGCTGGAGAGAGAGGGGATAAGGAAGCTGTGTGGGGGGCGGGCGGGCTGGCTGGCTGGCAAGGGGCATGTGTGAATGGAGTATGGTTGCGTCTTTGGGCTTGTAATGAAGATAATTTTGGCAGCGAATTCTGTTTCCTTTATTAGTTATTGTTAGGGCTTGTACTATCACATGCTGTCTAAATCGTAAGAGAGGGAACTGCAGATAGACTGTGGTGGTCCCAGAGCCCCTTTGTTGGCAGGGATGGCCCTGGAAGGGGGATTAACAAGCTTCACAGTGCTGTAGGCAAGAGAGCCTCAGGAATCGGGGCTGGCTGCCTCACAGAGCGCTTCAGAACCTGCTGCATCTTCTCCCCTGACCAGCTTGGACCCTGCTGGTGAGCCGTCTACGCTAGTGCCACAGTTCTCTGCTGTGGGTGGAGCTGCAGTGAAGGGAAGTGGGTCACGCTTGTTTTTTACACCTCGGTAGGTGGATCAGCCCTAGCTTTAATCCAGGTAGCACTAATAACTGCAGAGGTGATGTGGTGAGAGAAGCTTTGGTGCAAGCATGCCAACCATATCTGAAAATATTTTGTTTGATGGATGAGTAGTCACTGTATATGTCCATCTGTTGTCACACTTGTTAGACTGAAGCAATTTGGGTATGCCTGCCTGTGCTGCCCATCATGTTCATTCACTGGGCAGACCAGAAACATATATAGTGAAGTCCTGGAGAAGCTTGAGCAATATTTGCTGCTACTTTGGCACGCTCATTTCTGAATTAGCAATTTCTCTTGACAATGAATCTAAGTGAAATTGAAACCACTTTTTGAACTGTGTGCTTCCAACCACTACCCTGACAGCTTTCAGAAAACAGGAAAAAAAAAAAAAAAACCCTCACTGAAATAGAAAATAACAGGAAAACAGTAAGTTAGGCATCATCGGAACAGATGACTGACCAAATTTCTTAAGTATGTCTATGTATAAACATATAGGCACATACTAGGAAATGTAATATTAAAAAAAAAAAATGATTTCAGAGTTCCAAGCTACCTTGCAAATAGCACGATTACTTAAATCACTTAATGAAGTTTGCTGTACTTGTTAAGTTGCTATGGCACCTGAGATCATCCCACAACATTTGACAGATTTTTATCTGCAGTTCATTAACCGCACTGAGCAAATTGAAAATCCCCGGTTACACTGTCTTTTATATCATTTCCTGTGAGATAAGTTTGAAGAACAAACTTACGCATACAATGTGTGTATATGTACAAAGAAACTTGCATAGCTCATGAAGTAGGATGACACCTGTCTGACATAATGCCTGGTGTGTGACAAGTTTTTCATGGAACACTCCAGTGTTCTTATAAATAAGAGCGGACTAGAAAAATGCTTAAGTGTCGAGGGAAGACAGCTACTCAGATTGTCTCTTTGTTGTACATTGGACAAATAACTGAGATTATACATTCTTCCTTAACGCTTGCATTTTGTTATTTCTAATCTTTCCCCCACCTAAAGCTGATGCCTGTTGGATGAGGCTGTGAAGACAGAAACATTGCCTTTAAAGGCACGTAAATGCCTGCTAAGATGGCATTGGCTAGTTCACTTTCTAGCAAGTCAGTACCACCACGTTCCAGGAGAGTTCCTACAACAGGAGTGGAAGCGCACCAGAGCAAGCTGGATTTTTTTTGCAAGCTGGGCTATGGTAAGCAGGACATCTGCAAAGTGCTGGAGAACCTGGGCCAAGAGGCTCTGGAGGATGATGTGCTGAAAGAGCTAATTCGGATGGGGAGCAAACCTCAAGCTCTGGAGAGCCAGGTTCAGCCTGCCCCGCTGAAACTGGTCGCCCGAGGATCAGGTAGCATTCCAGACGTGCCACCCTGGCTTGGCGAAGACGGAAGTGATTCCTCTGGCCACTTGAGACCCATTGTGATTGATGGCAGCAACGTTGCAATGAGGTAAGCTCTGAGCCTTAGAGAGGATCTCTTTTCCTTAGTAGCTTTTGAATTCCAAAGCTGATGGCTTGAAGTATGTTTTTTCTTTTCTCTGGGTGGGAGGTGCACTGATGTATTTGGTGAATAATAGATGAACCACCCTTTTATTCCTTCTTCTTTTTTGGCTGGGGCATAGCTTACACTAGACCTTCTGTTTCTATGCCCGTAAATACACACACAAAACCTTTTGTAAGCTAACCGCTAGCTAGCTACTATTGTTTATAACAATAGGATTCAACAGCTCTGTTTCCCTTTTCGTTGATCATTGATGTTTCACTGCCTTTTCAAATGGGTACCCAGGATCTCTAAGCCTATATGTTGAGGTGTTTCTGGGAAAAACTGAGGACCAGATAGTCAGAACAGCTTAACTGACTTAAGAAGGAGAAGGAAGATAAAGATGGGTGGCAGTGTTTCCTAACAAAAATATATTTGTCTTGTTTTGAGTTGCAAGCAAATCCCAACAAGGTCCCTGGCTGGTATATTTTGTTGGGTTTTGTACTGGTTTCATTTTGTAGGAATATCAGGTAATTGATGATTGGCTTCTATACTAAACAGTCTTATTTCCTCCTTAAATAGTTCTGTTTCTGGGAAGTGTCATAACAATTCATCCAGGCCAATTATATTCCCCGAGTATATGTCCCAACACTGTAAAAGCACTCTCACTGATGCAGAGCCTGGCTTTTCCATGTGGATGGGAAGCCCAAAGGCAGTAATGGTTTGGCCTCTATTTACCCGAGCAATATGAACTGCCAGAAGCCCCTCTCAGGCCTGGCAGTCAAGAGTGCTGAATGCACTGGGTAACCACCATTTTTCCTTGTCAGCTTCCTTTCCTCTAATCAGGGCCAAGCCAATCCTTCCATTCTGGAATAGAGTGGGAGGGGGGCTTCCTCATTTGGTATCTCTGGTGCGCGGAAAGATCCCATCCCCTCTGGTCGGAAGGCAAAAGGGACAAGTATATTCAGAGCAGCTGACCCTGCAGACTAAGCAAATCATGCCATCTTCTGGATGGAGAGAGAAATCCCATCTGAATCAGTCTGCTCGCTGTACCCTCCTGCTCACTGTGCCAGCTCTTGCCTATGCACTTTCCAGGCAGAGATCATTTAAACCCGATGTTGTTATGGGTGAGTGCAGCACGTGGCTTGACCTAACAGGTCATATTGCTTTCCTAGACCACAGACTCAAAATGGGTTTTCAAGGAGCCCCTGCTTCTGGCATGTAAAATTAAAATCCTTTTTGTAGAGCAAAGAATTTCCAAATAAGAGAGAGTGATGTTTGCCTGTTAGATTATTAAAGGCTGTTGTTTGCTCATGGATTCCTTATCTCTCACCTAAAAGGAATTAGTGGAATGCTAAGTAGTTTTCAGTTTCAGAAAGGCAAATATTTTACAGCTCTTCTCAGACATCCCCAGCCTCTGTCTTGGGAAAGGCCTGATAAAGTTAAAGACTGCTTGCAACAGTTGAGAAGACGATTGAGCTTGTCACTTCATGCTGAATGGACACAGCCTGGAAGGAGCTGTTTTCCTGTCCTGCATGCCTTTCCAAAGTGGTGCTGAATGTCATTTGCCTCTGGCTAATGGGATGGGCTTGGTGAATGCTTTCCGTATCCTTATTTTAATATTTCTGGTTTGCTGCTGTCACATGGAGAAGGGCTGCTTGCAATGCAGCCAGGAAAAAAGGATGTTACATGTCCCTGCTGTAAAAACATCATCATCATTATCAATGACAAAAAAATGTGCAGGAGAAGCAGCAGGTTAGGGATGAAGCTGTAAAATGTTGAAAAGATGGTTGCCTGTGTGGAGAAAAACATCGTTTTGAGCATTTGTATTTCTGCCTTGGGACTGCTATTTATGGAACGTTTCAGAGTTGGCACTGTGGGCCCATTGCAGGTGAAAGGTTTTGAAAAGGAGCTATATGCCCCAAGGTAATAAACTAATTGAATGTTTTGGCAATCACTAATTATCAGTCAGCCTTTCCTTAAAAACTTAAAAGGGAACTGTCATAACCCTGTTCACTGCACACTGAAGAGGGTATCTAGCCTAGTGCTTGCAGTCATGTCTAGTTTTTAAGCTCTAACACGAACAGAGGCTTTTTCCTAGATGAGCTGAATCCTGAAGTAGGTGTTTAAGTTCCTCTGCTTTGGCTATGTTCTTACTAGGGTGAATAAATGTTGATTCTTGATGCTTTCCACCACCAACCCTAAAACATTCTAGGAAGGTGGAAAAATGCAGCTGCAGATAGGGGAAGGAGGGCTGTGATTGCCTGTTGTACCAAAATCGGAGTATAATCCTAGTGCCCTCTTAGGGTGGTGCCTGGTAAACCATTATGGCTGTTCACTAGTGAAAAAAACTTGAGACCAGCGTGCTGTTTGTTAGCCGACATGGACAAAGCTTATCTTCAGGTACAGGCTACTGGGAAATCATAGTGCATACCTGTGGCTAAATTGCTTCCCTTCTGCCAAAGCTTTATCTTATACTGTGCCATGATTAGATGTATCCTATACTGTGCCGGTCATATTTTTAAAAAGCTGATGTTTCACCTACATTTCTTTTAGAAAGGGTTGGAATTGCATAAGTAAAGAAAGAACGAACTTCACGTTAGCCTCAGTACGGACTGATTACCACATTCGTAGCCAGGCCAAATTGCTGCTTTGGTTTCTGTGAGACGGGTCCTGGTGATTGCAACACAACTAAGATATACGGCGTTGCTGGCAGGAGGGAGAGAGCTAGGACAGAGTTATGGCAGGTCAGCCATGGTCCACAGACTGTGGGAGAGTGTTGGAAAGGTGACCAACGTGGCAAATCTGTCGTCGGGCAACATAAATTCACCACACCGGAGTTAAACTGATTTAAAGTCCCTCTTCTATGGCAAAGCAGATATTAGTATTCAGTTATGTTTAAATTGCAGTGCACCATATGTGTATAAGCTATTTATAGATGTACGAGCGGTAGCTTTTTTTTCTCCCAAGTTTGGCCATAGCAATGTATCAGCAATTAGATTAAGTGAAAACACTGAGAAACGATTCCAGGCTCTTCTCACGTGTTTTGCTTGTCTTTCTGACCAAATAAATTACTTAGGTTTGATTGTTTTATCCTTTACAGTGGTGGGTACATCTAAAATTACTTTCCTAAAATTGACAAGGTTATATAAACAACTAGTCACTGTTAAAGCAGGCTGCTGGTTTACTGACCTTTGATTCCTGGCATTAAAGATGTTCCTAGATTTCCCTTTAAAGGCAGTTATTTGAAGAAATAACCTGAACTTAAAATTCAGCTGTCTAGGTGAATTTGAAGGATTTACCTGTCCTGTAAAAACAAACAAAACAGTTGTTCTGTAATGGAAATTAGATGCGTCAACCACTTCAAATGGTTTATTATAGGTATGATTTGCTTTTTAAACTTCCTATTGCCTGAGTATTAGTTAATAAATAACCTGATTTCTTCCTGCAAATTGCACTATTTTTCATTTGTGGTCACCATTACACCACTCTAAGTTTTAGTAGATGGCAAACAGACCTTTTTTTTTTTTTTTTTGAGGCTGATGAATAGAATCTAGACATGAATTATTTGGGGGGGGGGAGGATTTAAGAGTGGGGACATTGTTCTCACCCATTCTGTCACTGTACATAGGTGTAGTAATTGAGCAAAGGAGCCATTTACATGTGTATATTTTGCAAAGGTTAAAGCATGAGTGAGATTGTGGAGATATCCAGAAAGCTCAAAGTACAAGGAAGAGGTTTTGATAGGTGTTTATTTATTTCAGGACCTTTGTGTAGAATTTATTTTCCTCGTGATGCCTAGATGGAGAACCTGTGCTTTTGTTTCCTTGTACGGAGGTAGTTAACAAATTACCTTCCTTTACACGTGAACTGTAGTCAAACTCTAGATGAGAGAATGACAAGCAGTAAGAATTTCAAATAGGGCAACTTAGAAAGGTTCTCCAATTGGTTTTCTTGGGGATGCTTTGTATCTTGTTTTGAATACTAATAATTCTTTGGAATCTCTTTGCTTGCCTCTGCTATAAAACATATCCCAGGGATTTTCTGTGCAAGGAAGAAAATCTACCAGCTAGGGCAAGATGAAGATGGGTCTGAGGCATCTGTGGCTGCCTCCACTGAGATCTTGTCCCTTTTCTGGTGCCTCTGGCTGGGTTCTCATCCTGCCTTTCACAATTCGTGTTCCTCCAGAGTTTGGCTCCTGTTTCCAAAAGAGGTCAGCAGCAGGAGAAGGACCTGCAATTACACTTGCTACCAACTCAAACATAAAAATGTGTACATATTCCACTGTTACAGAGGGGAAAAAAAAAACCCCCATATTTTATTTAATATAGGATAGCCTCATGGGTTTCTGCTCTTGTTGGAAGAAACGCTCCCTCCTCAAAACGTTAATGGTCAAGGCAAGTCTTGGCAAGGGTCTGACACAGCCTAAGATCTTGCTCCTACTTTAGGATCCAAGTTTATCTAGATACAGATTGAAGCAATAGGCTTAGGTAGCAGATGGGTCACAGAAATTGGGGCTGGAATATCTCTATTTTGAAAGTATCTAAACTGCTTCAGACAAAATAGTTTCTGGTTTCTGTGGAGGCGTTTCAATTTTTCCAACGAGGACATCCTGCTCAGGACTTGGTGGTTGTTTTCTTGAAAATTGGTGAATGATGCAAAAGCTGTTTGTTTTACCTTTTCATTCCTGATTCAGTTAAAGAGAACTCTGTAAGCTTCCTGAAAACTTTTTGCCTCACCATACCTCCCTTTTATAGCCATGGAAACAAAGAAGTATTCTCCTGCTGGGGGATCCGGCTGGCCGTGGATTGGTTCCGACAGAGGGGACACACATACATCAAGGTTTTTGTCCCGTCCTGGAGAAAGGAACCCCCTCGACAAGACAGTCCCATTGCAGGTAGATTGGCATCCCAAGCATAATTTGGCAAACTCTAGGTGCAGTTGGAGACAGGGAGTGTGAAGAGTCCAGTAGAGTTTTGCCGCATAAAGGCAAGCACATTGCAAGTTGGGTGTAAGGTCTGCACCACTTAAATTAGTCATTAATTTATTGCCACATGCATGCTCTTGGCTGGCAACCAAAACTGCATACAAACCTTCGTTACAGTGCTTGGAACGGTCTGCTTCAAAAGCACAAGTTTCTGCTGGCTGAGTTGCCGAAGAATGAGTTTGTTACAATGAGACTGCAGAGCTTTTAAGGGCAGCCAGTAGACCATGACATTGTTTCGGAGTAGATATATGCCACATCAAGATACAGTAGTATCTTCAGTGTCCACTACTGTATGACCATTTTCTGCTTACCTGTTACTCTGATACAGGAGCTATATAGGTTCCTCTTCTGGGAGAAAGAAATGCATCAGCCGAAGTATGTGGAGGGTGGTGAGATTTACACCATATGGAAATCAATCTGCAAAATTTGTGCCAGGAGCTTGATGAGCGAGAGATGCAACTGCAGCTACAGATGAGAAGACTAGGGATCTGCCTTTCTGTGTAGTCCTAATGCTTACAGTGTGCTAGGCAGGAATGACAGGAAGTCCTCAATGGCAGAGAAGTGATTTTTCTGTCAGGCATATTCTATCTGTCTCCCAGCAAAACTCATACAAGGGAAGGTTATGAGCCTTCTAGCATCTACTGGGTCATAAAATGAATTACAGGGGTTCAGCATACCCCTGGCATAGAATTCAAGCCTTCCTTTCACGAACAAGATTTAAAAATTGAATAAGAAAAGCATCTTAAATTTTATGGTTAGATGCTTTTATAGAAGACCTAGAATTTAAGTTGCTGACCATCTACTTGATGCCAGTGCATCTGAAGATTGCACCACTTCTTAAAGTATCCTAATGTGTGAAGACATTTTTAGATTCTTGTAGGATTCTAGCAGCACATGACTGACGCTTGCTCATTACTGATGATGACTGATTCATTTCTTTCTTTTGTTTCTCCCTTCTGTTTCTGCTCTCCCCTACCACCAGATCAGCACATTCTTGAAGAGCTTGAGAAGCAATTGATTCTTGTGTATACCCCATCCCGGAAGGTGAAAGGCAAGAGAGTAGTTTGCTATGATGATCGCTATATAGTTAAAGTTGCTTATGAGAAAGATGGAGTCATTGTTTCCAATGACCATTACCGGGATCTCCAAAATGAAAACCCTGAGTGGAAATGGTTCATTGAGCAGCGACTACTCATGTACTCTTTTGTCAGTAACAGGTAAGAGACAGTTGTTGTTAAGTAATGTTAGATTTAAGCATTACGAGACAAGTTGGCTCAAACATCAGTGCAGCTCTAACCAGCAATCAGAGTACAGGAGTCTATTTCTGAGAGAGGAATTTACTGCAACTTTTCTTACCCCTCTTCCTCAGCTGCTGCTTCCCCAGCTTTGGTCTTAAAACCCCATGTTGCTCCTCAGTCAATTTCTCTATTTGACTGGCAGTATTTATTAGTGACCAGCTTCGCCTGTTGCCCATCCAGTTTGTGACGTTACCCATGGCCCTGTATCTTTCCCATTCTATTTCATAGCAGTATAACAGAATGAAATCAAGGAGAGGAGGCTGGCTATCTGGCAGTATTTTTAATTTCTCTAGAGGACAGAACGGCGCTCGTTCCTATGCTTTTATAATCTTAACCTTCTAGAAGAAGGGAAATAAGAACCTGGTTTCTCTAACCCTTTAATTATCCCCACTGAAGGAGGTTTTCATTAACAAACTACAGTGTCTCTAAGAGTGAACTGCATGCTGCTTTGTTTCTACATGCTAACCTTGTCTGAGTTTCTTAGCGACAGAGATGCTGGTAGTCAATTTAGCTTTGAAATTCACTCAGAGAAGTATGTCCAGCGTGTGCTAATAAGGTAGCTGAGAAGCCTCCTCAAGGTGCAGCACACAGCACGCTCACTTATCAGCACTGACACTTCTCTAGCCACCAAAACTGGAAGTACTTGGCACTGAATTTCAATTTTCTTATAATGATGTTGTTTACAGAAATACAATAACTAAACATCAACAAATTGTGTTTCTCAAAGGTCCAGGCTGTTATCGCCAACTAGGAAGAGACTGCTTCTCTAGTTACTAACAGGTTACAAATATTTATATGGTATCTTCCTTTTTACTTTGTGGGGATTGCCAGACTCTCAGAACCCTTGCCACAGAAAGTCTACCTGTTGTTCTTGCAAAATGTGTTTGAATAGTTTCAGGGAGACCCTCTCGTACAGCTTTGGGAATCTCTCAAAAACCACAGCCCGGAGTTGGACGTTTCAGTTCCACTGCAGAGATAAACAAATTCCCTCATTGACTCCCCTCCCCTCCCTTCCAGTTGTTACATCCCTTCATGCAATGGCCCAGTGATATTTAACAGAAAACTAGCGAATTGTTCCACAGATGAGTGTGGCCAAGATGATTAATTTGCAAACAAATCTACAGATGCTACAGAGGTTTTCTTCCTGAAGCATTACATTCAAGTACTGGCACAGAAGAATGGTTTATCTGACCATGTTCTGGGTCTTCTAGCATGAGGCCTTACTGAATTGTTGAAAAGACTTGGCCTGTTTATTGCACTAGCTGAATGATCAAACTTTAGCTCCGAGTTAAGTGGTGGCTTTAACCACCCTTCCTTTAGAAGTATTTAGTAAGCGGAAAATGTTTGTTGTGGAAGTGAGCTGACCAGTGAGGACCACAGTGCTGTGAGTACAGATTAAGAACTTGGTTCACATAATGTCTTCTGCTGTTTCAGAGAAAAAGGAAGGGAAATTGCAATGTTCCTGGCTGCTGACAGGCCAGAGCTATGCCAAGCCTCAACGTCTTTCCAATTATGTTAAGTTCATAGAAAAGAACAACAGCTATATGAACTTTTGATTGAAGTATTGTTGGATTGGCAACCAGGAGCGCACTGTGTCTAAAAATGCAGCCTAACTTCTGGAGATCAGACTCTGAAAGGATCACAAGAATTTCCTGCCATAAGCTTATGCAATAAGTTGCGACAACAGTGTAGATCCAAACATTCAAGGTATTTTTTTTTTGTTACTCCTGTGCCCTTTGCTTTTTTAGGTTTATGCCTCCTGATGACCCGTTAGGCCGTCATGGACCCACTCTTAATAATTTCCTCAGCAAAAAGCCAGTGCTTCCTGAACCAAAATGGCAACCATGCCCATATGGTAGGTTTCTTGCAATGCTGTGAACTGTTACTAGTCTTCCTCCTGGGCCTTGCGTCTCCGCTGCGCCTTCCTTCAGGGAAGGGAGAGTGTCACTGCCATGTGCTCTCCTCCTTCAGGCTTTGTGTGGTAGAGCCTTGGGCCAGAGCTGCTCAAAAGTGGGATGCTTTCCCCCCCCCCCCCCCCCCCCATTTAAATGGTTTCAGCCTCAGCAAAGGCAGCAGCTGTTTCTCATTCCTGCATCCTCACCCATTCATAGCAACCAAAACCAGTGCAGTGCCTGTGCTGACCCCTTTCGGCTGCACATGCTTTACACATTACAGTATGTAATAACACTTAGGAAAGGCCATTCAAATGTGTGTGTGTGTGTGTGTGTGTGTGTGTGTGTGTATTTTTTATTTATTTATTTATTTATTTTTCCTCCCCGAGCAACTTTCTAGTCATTTGGGGTTTTCTCAGAGAGAAATCCTTACAACATTTTTTAAAGCAGCCCTTTGTAGCATTAGGTCTCCTAACCTATCAGCAAGTGCAGCAACCTGAACATAAATGAATTTCAACCACTTCCAATATGGACCTAATTCTTCACGCTGATTTACGCAGCAGGTGGTCGGCAAAACTCTGAGCCACTTACTTCCTTTCACGACTGCTTCACCCTGCTATTTAGGTCAGCAATGTTTAAATCTGGGGTCAAAATAACAAGACTGGAAAACAGCACTTCTCCTCTGTCTGTGCTCCTCTGTCCATGTACACACCCTTGTACATGCTTACTAATTTTCCCTAGAACTAAGTGTGTTACTAGCAGTAAAAGCTGATTAACAATCTCCTGTTTGATTTTTGGTTCTTTCAGGAAAAAAATGCACTTACGGCAGTAAATGCAAATTTTACCACCCAGAAAGATCGCATCAAGCTCACCTATCAGTTGCTGATGAGCTCAGA